GGGCGGTGGGGAGGGCGGAGGGGGAGGGCGGGGATCACAGCCTTAAAGACGCCGCCCGCCCGCGCCCTTTCTGAAGGCCGGGTGTGGAGAAAGGGCGGGGAGGCGCCGATCCCAGCGCGTAGACAGTGGAGGGCCCTGGCGTAGGGCTGGGCGGGAACGGCCCTCGACGCCAGGGCCACCGTCACCTGTCCCGGAGACCGGGGAGTGAGCCCGGATTCCCAGGTCTTCCCCCAACGCTGTCCCGGGACGGGGGACCACTGCGAAAACGATCGTGACGAGGAAGGGCAGTGCGGAAGGTTTTCCTTGGCCCCCTCTCTCCGGGGTCCCTGTCCCACAGCCCCCCCATACCCGCCCCACCCCGCAGCTCCCAACACATTCCTATTCACTCCACGACGCCTTTCCTCGCGGATTGTAAGGGAAATGGATGAGGCGATGTTTGTGCACTCAGGCAATTCACCGCGCCGGAGAAATCATTTCCAGACCCCTTTTTTCTTTCCTTACCAATCATTCTAAGATCGCTCAATCTAAGGGTAGCAGCCTGTGGGGTTAGGGCCGTCCAGACTATCCGCGACTCTCCAACAGTGAGGTAAGGATTGGTAGGCTTAGAAATCTGGAAGTGTTGCCAGGCGCTGGTGGCTCTTGCTTGTAATCCTAGCTACTCAGGAGGCTGAGATCTAAGGACCATTGTTTTGAAGCTATCCAGGGTGAATAAATCTCAGTCTTGTCTCCAATTAACTACCACAAAGCTGGAATACAGAGGTGTGGCTCAACTGGTAGAGGGCCAGTCTTGAGTGACAATACAGATGGCGGTGCAAGGCCCTGAGTTCAAGCCACACTAACACACACAGAAGGGGTGGGGGGAGAAGGAAGGAGAGAAAGGGGGCGGGAGAAAGAAAAGAAAGGAAGGAAAGAAAGAAAGAAGGAAGGAAAAAAGAGAGAAAGCTGAGAAAGGCTACTTGCAACTACTCAGAGAAGTTTCTTATAGGCTAAGGCAACCAAGTAAATTTCCTCTGCACTCTTCCTGTGTTGGAGAGGACTCTGAGTGGACTCCTGGGCTGGTAGCTGTAAACACATGGAAGATAAAGATGTGACCAGCCATCATCTGCTGGCAGGGTTGATTGCCTTTATTCCCTCAATTTGGGATTTTCCAGCAAGAGCCCAAGTAGGAGTTGTCCCGGCACTATGTGCCTGCAAGCTCATTATTAGTTCATTATGAGGTCAGACCTTGCAGAACAAAATGTATGAAATGAAGTGGCTAGGGCTAGCCTTGAACTCCTGTACTAATCAGAAGAGAGTCAAAGGCTAAAGGATACGATCTCTGCCCCAAAGAAGATACCAGTTACGATTCCAAAGGCAAGTTTTCTCCATAAAATCTGACTGTCCTAGAGAGTGATGACTCCTCCATTTCATCCCACCCAATCTGTCTTATATAAGATAGATCATCTTAAACTCTGAACCCATAGCCAAGAGGGTGAGTGCCTTCACTAAATGCAACTCTGTCCCAAAGGAGGAAGTGGAAAGAGAGCAACAATCAGCCAGTGTCCCCACACAAAATAAGCCTGTCTTGCTCTAGACAGCTGGCACCTTACCAAGCTGGCTAGCACCAGCTTCAACCAACTGCACAAACCAAGAGACTTCAAATCAAAACAAAATAGCTAGAATGTTCGTTATGAAGGAGAAATGATATTAAACCTCTGCCATGTTCTGATGCTGAGACCCAGTCATACCAACTATTTTGAAAAGTATACCCATGATACCGCTGAATGGCAGAGAGTGGGAAATTCCAGTTCCTCACTCTGTGGCTTTGAACAATGAAGTCAGTCATTCCAGAAGAGCTCAAAGAAATTATGAAAACGCATAAGTTCTTTCTGAGGAATTCCTAGGTCCATTTTTTTTCTCACTGCATAGCATGACTTTTCCTTTGTGCTTAAAGCTCAGCTTTCACTTACAGCTTTGAAAAATGACAGGTTTCAAAAGACATAGATTTAGGCATCTGAACTTGCAGAAAATGGTCAATGATAAATCATGTCAATGTAGACACTGACCACATGCCCCAATGAATCTGCCTTCACTCACAAGTAAGAGCTGAACTACTAACATCAAGTTCCTTCTCTTTTTTTCTCCAAATATTTCTTTATTGAGATTAAGTGATCACATAAATTTCACAGTACTGTGGCATAATAGACACCTTTTAACCTTCACAATGATAATCATCTTAATCTACAAAGCTTGGGAACTCTACAAACTTTAACAATAGAACTATTTCTACTAAATTGGGTGGCATTATGTACATTTCTTTCCTTTTGCTTAGCATCAGCTGTTCCCTCTTTCTCTCTCCCTCTCCCCCTCCCATCACCACCCTAGAGTTCACTTTCATTAATGTCCAGTGCAGCTAATGGGTACCTCTGCTGTATTTGTTTCTTTACACCTGCTTGCTGCTGAATTTGTTTCTTTACATCTGCTTCTCCACCCAGGATGTAAATGATACTGGAAGTGAACACCAAGGTTCTGTCCTCCAAACATACATACATACATGATTCTTCATAAAAGTAAACCTTAATGCTCAAATTGTGACAGACGTTAGAAATTCTGCTCTTCCAGAATTGTCTAAACAAAGGAAAAAATATTTGAGAATGAAGGCATTATTCCCAGGCTGACTCTGTGCATGTTCATGCATGCATGCATGTGTGAGTGCGTGTGTGTGTGTGTGTGTGTGTGTGTGTGTGTGTGTGTGTTGGTACTGGGGTTTGAATTCAGGGCTTTGTTTTTCCTCACATAGCTCTCTCACTTGAGCCACACCTCCTCTTCTAGCTTTTTGATGGTTAAATTGGAGATAAAGTTCTCAAGGATTTGTCTACTTGGCCTGGATTCAAAGCATGGTTCTCAGATTTCAGCTTCCTGAGTAAGCTAGGAGGATAGGTGTGAGTCACTGGTACCCAACCTAGGTGAGGATTTAAGTTTGGCAGAGCTGAGGTAGACCTCACAGGCAGAGCACTAGCTTGGTAACTAGGAGGCCTGGGCTCCATCTCCAGCACCACAAGAAAATAAAAGTAATAGAGAATTCTGCAAAACAATATTTCTCATACATTTATTGAAAGCAAGTGCTTTGTAAATTCTGATTGATCAAAATGGTTTGGCTGACATAAGCATGGTACTGGCACAAAAACAGACCCGAAGACCAATGGAATAGAAGACCCAGAGACAAAACCACACACCTACAGCCAGCTGATTTTTTATAAAGAAGCCAAAGACATACAGTGGAAGAAACACAGCCTCTTCAACCACTGGTGCTGGGAAAACTGGGCAGCCAAATGCAGAAAACTAAAAGTGGACCCCAGCCTATCACCATGCACCAACATCAACTCAAAATGGAGTAAAGACCTTAACATCAAACTTGAATCTCTGAAACTACTGCAGGACAGAGTAGGAGAGACACTTGAACTTATAGGCACAGGAAGGAACTTCCTGAACAGAGTCCCAGGGTCACAACAAATTGGAGACAGACTCAACAAATGGGACTACCTTAAAATAAAAAGTTTCTGCACAGCTAAAGCTATCGCAACCAAGCTAGAAAGACAACCAACTAATTGAGAAAAAATATTTACCAGCAATATATCAGACAAGGGGTTAATATCCAGTATATACAGGAAACTCAAGAAACTAATCCCTCCCAAACCTAACAAACCAATTACTAAATGGGCAAGGGAACTACAGAGAGATTTCTCAGAAGAAGAGATAAAAATGGCAAAGAAACACATGAGGAAATGTTCACTATCCCTGGTTGTGAAGGAAATGCAAATAAAGACAACCCTGAGATACCACCTTACCCCAGTCAGAATGGCCCACATCCTAAAGTCAGCCAACGACAAATGCTGGAGGGGATGCGGAGAAAGAGGAACCCTATTACACTGCTGGGGGGAATGTACACTTATACAACCACTTTGGAAAGCAGTCTGGAGGGTCCTCAGAAAGCTAAATATTGACCTTCCTTAGGACCCAGTCATACCACTTCTAGGCATCTACCCTGAACAACAGGAACCAATATACAAGGACACGTGCACCTCCATGTTTATTGCAGCACTGTTCACAATAGCCAGGATATGAAAACAACCCAGATGCCCCACCACAGATGAATGGATCCAAAAACTGTGGTATCTATACACAATGGAATATTATGCAACCATTAGAAAGGACAAAATAATAGCATTTGCAAGGAAATGGATGGAGTTAGAAGAAATCATGTTGAGTGAGGTAAGCCAAGTGCAAAGAGACAAACAACACATGGTCTCCCTGATAAGTGAATGTTAAATCCAAAATGTTAGGTGATAAAACAACATTAGCAGGACTTAAGAAAGGACTTCCACTCATCTGGTCGAATCACTACTAAATAACCACATGCTGCCGATCACATGTATGGTATATATGTGCACACTGGAGGAAAACCAGGAGGATGACACAGAACTAGAGGGAATCAGGGAAAAACATATACCAGCGGGACCCATCAGCTGCACTGGACATTGACCAAAATGAACTAAGCAACTCAATGGCAGCGATGGGAGGGAGGGAACAAGTGGGAAAGGGGGAACAGCTGATGCTATGCAAAATGAAAGAAATGTACATACCACCCAAGGTGGAAGAAATAACTGTATCGCAATGCTCACAGAACTCAGAAATGTTATAGACCATGATAGACAATTTGCTCCATGAAAGTTATAATGTGTTTGTGACATTAACTAAGCATCACTATCCCACAATACTGTGAAATCTGGGAAATTATATAATCACTTAATCACAATAAAGAATTTGGGAAAAAAATGGTTTGGCTGAGCACTAGTGGATCATGTCTGTAATCCTAGCTACTTGTGAGACTAAGACCTGGAGGATCATAGTTCAAAGCCAGCCAAGGGGGCTGGGAAGGTGGCTCAGTGGAAGAGCGCTTGCCTTGCATGCCTGAGGCCCTGGGTTCGATTCTTCAGCACCGCATAAGCAAAAAGAAAAAAGCCGGAAGTGGCGCTGTGGCTCAAGTGGTAGAACGCTAGAGCTGAGGGACAGCGCCCAGGCCCAGAGTTCAGGCCTCACGACCAGACCCCCCGCCCAAAAAAAAGCCAGCCAAGGCTGAAAAGTCTGAGAAACTCTGTCTACACTTAACCAGCAAAAATGTGGCTCAAGTAGTAGAGTGAGAGCA